ATTTATATGTAAAAGTTTTAGTTTCAATCAAATATGAAATTACCGTGAAGTCTTCTATCAGGCGTCTCTGCGCCTCACTTCTTTAAGTGGCATTTAGAAGTTGGTGTGATGAGCAGGGGATAGTTCTATGGATATACGGGGCGGTGGCGTAGCCTAGTGGTTAAGAAGACCCAGTTTGATTCCCCACATGGGTACAATGTGTGAAGCCCATTTCTGGTGTCCCCCACAATGATTTTGCTGGAATATTGCTAAAAGTGGTGTAAAACCCAACTCACTACAGGTTTTGATTTGTCTGTCCCAGAAACCAGTGATTGATGTAATGAACAACCTCCCTCACTGTTAGCCGAGTCACTGAGCCTGATCACTCAATCCTAGTTGTTGCATTTAATGACAAGTATGCTGTGTCATATTGCTGGAGGAATTCTGACTGTGACGAACGTATGCATGATATTATATTGCCAGTTGAGGTTAGTATGCTGTGATTCACACAGACCCTGGATGTTCAGTTCCTTCACCTGTCTACAGTTATCAGAAAACATGTGGGGTGTTTTTCTATCAACCAAAACATCACCCCTCAAGCCCGAACCGTCATGGAGGGGACACACTACTAGACCCCACAGTCCTAGGGCTCTTCTTCAAGGTAAACAATACCCCTTCCACATATTTTGGCATACCTCATGTGGTCATAAAGAGGACTACAATGGATTGGAAAGTCATACTTGGTCAATTGTTTGATGGTGTCTTTCACTCAGTGGCTTCACTGAATTGTCTGGTCCAGACTCGGTTATTTTTAAACCAGCTTCATAAAGCTGGAATATTGCTGAGTGCAGCATTGATCAACAAACAAACATGATACTGTTGAATTGCTTTTACTGACTTACATAATTATATACACAAGACTCAAGAACTCATGTTGCCCAATACTCTAAGTCAGTGCAGTTTTCTGTGCTGAGTCGCCTCCCTTTAAGTGTCAGGCTCCAGTGATCATCAGTTCCAATCTCTGATGAACTTGATCATGGATCTCTATTTGTTGCCATCTATGATAAGCATTGCTATTGTGCTCCAACATTTGGCAGGCATGCTATTGTGCTCCAACATTTGGCAGGCATGCTATAGTGCTCCAACATTTGGCAGGCATGTTATTGTGCTCCAACATTTGGCAGGCATGCTATAGTGCTCAACATTTGGCAGGCATGCTATTGTGCTCCAATTTTTGGCAGGCATGCTATAGTGCTCCAACATTTGGCAGGCATGCTATTGTGCTCCAACATTTGGCAGGCATGTTATTGTGCTCCAACATTTGGCATGCATGCTATTGTGCTCCAACATTTGGCAGGCATGCTATTGTGCTCCAACATTTGGCAGGCATGCTATAGTGCTCCAACATTTGGCAGGCATGTTATTGTGCTCAACATTTAGCATGCATGCTATTGTGCTCCAACATTTGGCAGGCATGCTATAGTGCTCCAACATTTGGCAGGCATGCTATATTGCTCCAAGATTTGCAGGCATGCTATAGTGCTAACATTTGGCAGGCATGTTATTGTGCTCAACATTTGGCAGGCATGCTATAGTGCTCCAACATTTGGCAGGCATGCTATAGTGCTCAACATTTGGCAGACATGTTATTGTGCCCCAACATTTGGCAGGCATGCTATTGTGCTCCAACATTTGGCAGACATGTTATAGTGCTCCAACATTTGGCAGGCATGCTATTGTGCTCAACATTTGGCAGGCATGCTATAGTGCTCCAACATTTGGCAGGCATGCTATTGTGCTCCAGCATTTGGCAGGCATGCTATAGTGCTCCAACATTTGGCAGGCATGTTATTGTGCTCCAACATTTGGCAGGCATGCTATTGTGCTCCAACATTTGGCAGGCATCCCATTGTACAAATGAGATATTGCCCTGTATGACATTGGTCCTCTCACACTTGACTCTCGTTTCTTTCACATTACTTTTTTTCTCCTCTTCATTAACCTTTTGTATTTATATTTCAGATCTATGACAAAGTTCGGCTGAATTCAGAAATGGCCCACCATGCCTCCCAGTGTCTCGGTCAGTTGGCATCGGCTCAATGGACAAATCTTCTCCGATGACAAGGCCAAGATTCAGTACCTCGCGCACACTACATCGATGGCTTCCTTCAGCTCCTCACAGGGTAGGTCAGAAACAGATTTATAGGGATCACCATGCTGACAGGATCTGGAAACATTGTTGACAAACAGTTGAACCTTGTTGCCTCTACATTTGAAGACTTGAGAAATAGTTCTACTTCTTGATTTTACCCACTTTGCTGTATTCCCATCTACAAAATCAACAAGTCTGAGGGATTCAATATATATTGATTTATCGATTTAGGATAAATTCGAATTATTCTAGGTTGGACAATTTCCCATGATTTTGTTTCTGTGTATCCGGATGTTCATTCTATCATCTACTGTTTGTATGTGCAGACTGGGTCTTCAAGATTCAGAGCATCTTGGGATTTCCAACTGCTTCAAGAATCTGGCCATGATGTTCCCACTGTAGGTGCTTCATGGAACTGCCGATGCTGCACTTCCGGGCTTTTAAATTACGATCACATGACCAGACTGGCGTGTTCAATGGGGGAGCGGGAGGCAGCCAAGGAGGCGGTATGTCATGCTTGTGTTTGTTTCTTTGGGCAGTGGGCTAGCCCTAGTGGTTAAAGCGTTAAGCTCATCACACGAACACCTGATGGGTACAATGTGTGAAGCCCATTTCTGGTGTCCCCACTGTAATATTGCTGGAATATAGCTAAAAGTGGCATAAAACTATACTCACTCACTCCTCACTCACTCACTCCTCACTCACTCCTCCACCTCACTCACTCACTCCACTCCTCCTCCTCACTCCACTCACTCACTCACTCACTCACTCCTCCTCACTCACTCACTCCACTCACTCCACTCCTCACTCACTCCCTTTCGACCTAAGATGTCGTTTGTGGAAACTAGATCTTTGGGTGTTTTTCACTATCTGAGTCAAAGTCCTCATGAGTTTTAATTCTTTGTACTTGTCTTGAGCTGAATGTTCAACCAGTCCTAATTATCCCCACAGCTGGCGTTTAAAGCTTAGATGAGAGAGATAGAGTGATAGAAGCTCCAAATCCGTCCGTCTGTCTGATGCTGAGGTGGAATATCGTAAGAACCGTTGACTGGATTCTTTTCATATTTGGTACCTAGGTTCATCACAGTAAAAGGAAGGTGCCAGTCAGATTTGGTGACCTTGACCTTTATTTCAAGGTCACAAGGGGACTTTAACGTTTTACCTGCATGTTAAGTTACCTCAAGAACCATTCACTGGATTTTCTTCATATTCAGTACCAAGCTTTATCTAGGGAAGGCGCAGGGCCCATTCAATTTTGGTGACCTTCACTAAATTTTCAAGGTCACAGAGACACTTTGAAGATTTCAGCATATTAACCTACATGTTATGCTTGTCAGCGCGATACCTCAAGAGCCATTCACTGGAGTTTCTTTGAACACTTTGAAGATTTCAGCATGTTAAATCCGAAGATGTTAAGATAGTCATCAACATATCATAAAAAAATATTCTGTGGATTTTCTTCATATTTGTCACCAAGCTTCATCTAGGGAAGGCCCCAGGCCCAGTCAATTTTTGGTGACCTTCACATAATTTTTTAGGGTCCGCAGCGACACTTTGAAGATTTCAGCATGTTAAACCTGAATTGTCAGCAAGATATTTTAAGAACGGTCCACTGGATTTTCTTCATAGACTTTCAAGACTTCCCTTGAATGTTTTTCAATAAGCAATTTCTTTAGTACTAGTTTTGCATATTTCGTACACTATGACATTCATGTCAAGGTCAAAGTCAGTGTTGAAAATATGTGTGTGTTTGAACAACTAAACAGCAAGATATCAAGAGAGGTTGACTGGTCATGTTATTGTTGACATTTAACTTCATCTTAAACTTTCATTACTTTATAAGTTTGATTTGATCATTTGTGGCGGGGGATTATGTCACCGTAGTGACAATGCTTGTTCACCTTCTTGTTGCACTGGCTGTTCCAGATGAACCGGGATGACACAATCCACATGGAAGTATGAGAAGATGCTGGACACCTGGATGCAGTTAAGCCACCAACATCAAGTCCTTCCCAGATGGTGCACTCAAGCCACATGCCACAGAAATCTTCAACTCCTATGTCCAGTGTCACATCAGTTCCCCTGGGGATCCAAGACACAGCTTATGGTCAGTATAACAGACATATAAGATGTGACTAGCTATGTACAGTGAAACCTGCCAACACCAGCACCTGTCTAATCCGGCACACTGTCCAAACCGGCATAAAATTTTGGTCCAATTTTACAGCGATATTATGATCATTAAAACATTGTCTAATCTGGCACCTGTCTATTCCCTATTCCGGCACGACTTTCCGGTCCCAACAATCGATTTTAACTGTAATTAACACTGTCTAAACATGGCATGGCATGGGTATGAGCAATCAATCAAGGCCCCATAATCCAATACACTAATTAATCCTCTTGGCACGCAAGATAATCAGGAAGTAGTGATTGCGCGATGAATCAGGCATGGGTATGAGCAGTCCAATCAGGGTCCCTTAATCCAATACACTCCTCTCGGGACGCTAGATTGAGAGTTTGGCGAGTGTAAATGGCAGCCATGTTGGAAATTATCGTCAGTGTCTAATCCAGCACCCTGTCTAAACCCGGCATTTTATTTCGGTCCGTTGGGTGCGGTTTAGACAGAGTTTCACTAATACTATGAAGCTGCGACACAATTTCCATGTCCGTTGATTGGTTCCAGACCATCAATTTTTCGATCAAATGGCTCAAGTCTGACACTTGTCAGTGGTAAAGTTTACCATTATATTTGTGGTGTAAAGGGAAATTATACAGTGCTTTCACCGTATAAGCTTGACTTTCAGAATGGAGGAGCCTCAGCTCATGATGAAATCGATGATACAGAGGAGGATGACCCGAGACAAGTTCTCAGACCAACTCTGTTGTATTGGAGCCTTAGCCGGGTTGTACCTGAACACACCATTCCCCTGCTTGCAAAGTGAGTTTTGTGAACTGAACAGGAATTAGCTTTGTCTGTATTTGCATACTTGCTGTTTGAAGTAGTTTTCAGTACCGTGTGGTTTTGTTGAATTGCTTACCAGAGACATAAAATGAATTAAGATTTAGTTTAGGTTTTGTTGCACTAAAATGTTAGGGATTTTGAATATATGAAAGATGTTTTCATGAAATTGTGTAGTACAAAAATATATTCAGAAATAATCCCTTACCGTTCTGTGTATATGGTTTGATTATTGTTTGGATTAGATACCAATGGTTGTCAGTGGATATAGTGAGCTGTTGTTCTTTTACAGGGTGTTGGAGGACCGTATAGGTCGGTTACATGGCCAGTTACAACGGTTACAGCAACAGAGGCTGAACTCTGGCAACCACAACGCTTCTCTTGACATGTCTGTACTCAACTGTCTGCATGAAGACATCCACTGGCTCATCCTCATATCAGGTACAGTGAGAACATCACCAGTATAGGGTCAATATATATATATCAATATATTGTCAATGACATGTATTATTTTGGTTTTGACCTAATAAAATCTGTCTTGTCTTGTCTTGTCTTGTCTTGTCTTGTCTTGTCTTGTCTTGTCTTGTCTTGTCTTGTCTTGTCTTGTCTTGTCTTGTCTTGTCTTGTCTTGTCTTGTCTTGTCTTGTCTTCAGGACATATACATAGCTCAGTGTAGAGTTAATGGCTGTTGGAGTTAACCCTTTCTGTTGGAGATACTTGATAAAACGGTAGTCAATATTGTGCATTTCTATCAAAAACAATACCCTTTCACTTCCACAGAGATGCTGTCTGGTTTCATATTTGGGTCAGATGCATGGAAAGTACGGCACATTATACCACAAACACTGTTATGGTGTACCATACATCCATTGTTGTTAGGCTCAGAACTGTACAGCCACCATGTTTGTTTGCTTATTGTTTTTCTTCAGTCAGTTCTTTTATTCAAAGTCATGTGCAAGATGTTTTGGAAACAGTTGATGTGACAGTGTCCTCCCTCTTCCAGCACATGTCCTGACTGAAGAGTCTGAAGGCGAGACCCCCATGATTCCGTCCGATGTCATGAACTACTCAATCAGCCAGTCACAGAACGTCAACGTCCAGACCACATTGCAGGTCCTGGCGTCACCTGGGGAGACCCTCAGCAGCATTCAAAGGAAGTGACCAGAGCACCCGGACTGGGTGGTCAGGTAAACAATGCTGTCTCATCCACTCTGTATTGAACTTTTTGATAAGTTTAGATTTCTTTCAACAACAGCCAGTAGCTAAATCCATCTACATGGTCTACATCCACATCCACACTCTGGCCTAAAGGCTGCAGTGGCTAGTTCCTGTCCCTGTGCCTGTGTGTTCTTGTCCAGTGTCCCTGTGCCTGTGTGTCCCTGTCCCTGTGCCTGTCCTGTGTGTCCTCGTCAGTGTCCCTGTGCCTGTGTGTCTCGTCAGGTGATGTCCCTGTGCCTGTGTGTCCTCGTCAGTGTCCCTGTGCCTGTGTGTCCCTGTCCCAGTGCCTGTCCGGTGTGTCCTCATCAGTGTCCCTGTGCCTGTGTGTCCTTGTCCAGTGTCCCTGTGCCTGTGTCCCTGTCCCAGTGCCTGTCCCTGTGTGTCCCTGTCCTCATGCCTGTGCCTGTGCCTGTGCCTGTCACCATGCCTGTGCCTGTCCCTGTCCTTGTGCCTGTGCCTGTGCCTGTGCCTGTCTGTGTGTGTCCCTGTCACCATGCCTGTACCCAATGCCTGTGCCTGTGCCTGTGCCTGTGCCTGTCCCTGTCCCTGTCCTGTCTCTGTGTGTCCCTGTCACCATGCCTGTCCTCATGCCCGTGCCTGTCCCTCTGTGTCCCTGTCCCCTGTCCCTGTGCCTGTCCTGTGTGTCCTCATCCAGTGTCCGTGTCCCTGTGTGTGCCTGTCCCTGTCCCTGTGTGTCCCTGTCCTCATGCCTGTGCCTGTCCCTGTCCTTGTGCCTGTGCATGTGCCTGTGCCTGTCTCTGTGTCCCTGTCACCATGCCTGTCCCTGTGTGTCCCTGTCCTCATGCCTGTCCCTGTCCCTGCCCTGCCCCTGCCCCTGTCCATGTCCCGTCCATGTCCCGTGTGTCCCTGCCCTCGCGTGTGGACCGTGAAGGTCCCGGGTTAGAGATATTGATCTTTAGTAACCCATAGCTTGCCGAAGAGGCTGATTAACTTGGGATCGGTGGTCAGGCTTGTGGCTTCAGTTGACACAGGTCATTGGTTCTCAATTAAGCAGAGCGATGCTCATGATGTTGATCACTGGATTGTCTAGTCCAGACTCGATTATTTACAGACTGCTGCCATATAGCTGGAATATTGCTGTGTGCAGTGTAAGACTCACTCCACTCACTCCACCATTAACTGGTGGTGCTGTGTTAATGTTCTCTCAGCCACCCTGAGCACTAGTTTTGTGAAGCTCACTGCTGATATCCTCAGTTTATACAATGCTAATGTAACAGATGGATTGCTGCAAGTAGAACCTGAATTTGTCACAACCATTATTTTTCCTTATCCTGACTCATGCTCTTTTTGCTTGTCTTCTTCTTCTTACTTGCGAACATAGTGGAACACTTGTATCTCCCCTAATTGAAGCTCCTTCAATTTAAAATCACTAATTAGTATTCACCACAGGTTACCTCCCTTTTCATTAAGCTGGCGGGAGCGAGCCACCTCTACCCATGTGCCTCCTCTCTCCTTCTTAAGCCCAGTAGGCTGGGCGTGAGGCGCCTGTGTCTCCGACACACTATATCCTTTGAAATATATTTAGTTAGTTACCTCGTATAGACATCTATAGAGGTTTAGCTGAAGTATCCTTCAGCTTGATTATATATTGATATTTAGTCGATTTTTCTACAGTTTATTCACGGGACTGCCGTGTTTGTTTCAGTGGATTACGTTGATGAAAATTCTGTGCTATTGCAGATTCGTTTTATGCTGCTGCTGATCATTGCTTTAATATGATTAATGCGGCGCCATGTTTATTATATTCACATTGCAGTTCTTGGTACTAATTTATCCAATTCTACCTTTTATTAATATTTACTTTCGCGTTTAGCGCACAGCAGATAGGTAGCGTATGCAGACTCTAGTATGACTGATACACGGAACCCTCTGCCAGTCTACTGCTGTTGGCCGACTCCCCTCCCGTGTGGTGTTCGCTAAAGTGGTGGAGGTGTGGGGCGTAGTCCGCCATCTCAAGAAGCATCCTGCTTCCCCAGACATCCCATCGTCGCAGCAGAAGACTAGAGGGTTTTCTACCAGTACATCAAAGATTGACCGATGTCGGCTCAGATCAGCATGCAGCCTGATGTACCAACGCAGATATCGCGATGATGGTCGTCCTGAGGGTCCCATCATTACCAACACTCAGCGCAGGCGGTCGCGCACCCAGGGCAGCGTCGCGACCTCTGAGGGAAAATCAAGCGAAGTCTACTGGGACTTTCTCAAGCGAGATTGTTCCAGCCGATGACCTGGACCTCTCTACGATGATCAGCTGATCATCATCCCGGCGTCGCCATACAAGCGACCCGGTGACAGCTACAAGCGACATCAGCAGAGATCACCATGCAGCCTGATGCCTCTACACTGATGTCCGGACGATTTTCCGGTGGACCCCTCCATTAACACGCCCAGATAAAGCACCGACGACCATTCGTGCAGACCATCCAGAAGACATGATCGCGACAAATTATGAACATCATGGAGGACCACTATATCTCTGCGGTAGCAAGGGTCCGAACCTTCGAGAAGGCTCCAAGCGTGAACAGCACCCAGAGGCACCCCGTCAGCGTAGCAGCCAGGGCCGATGTCACCTGCCGCGAAGGAAGTCGCGGACCACCTTAGCGAAGGACCTAGATGTACAGCCTAAGGCCTTGTGGCGAAGGAAAGGACCCTAGATGTACAGCCTGCGAGAAGGCGGAAAGAACCTAGATGTACAGCCAGCGAAGGACTTCCGCGAAGGCAGGATAAATCATCACCTTATGCGGTTTCATCCCTAGATGTGGACTCGGACCATCCAGACATCCGGAAGCCGAACTTACCAGGAAAGTGTAATCCCAAATATGTAACAATGTGGCATGTCTCCTAGTAAACTTGTCGAGACATTAAACGGTGACGGATGCATTTCATGTGACGGAGATATATATAATAAGTATGCTTTGGTTTCAGTTTCTGTCTATCAACTTGCATTTAGACCTTTGATGATCTGGTGCGACCTCGTAGATTTATTTCACGGTTGAAGAAGGTGAATATTGTGGCAGGCGCTTCCCTCAGTTTCCAAGATCGATTGATCTTGGTCACGGGCTTGGTCTTAATTACTTGTTTCATCCATAGACTGGTAGTTATCATAATTTCTCTGATAAAATGGAATATTACCTGATTAATATTTTAAGCATTACAAAATAAGCTGCTTTAATAATTGTTGACGATAATGACGTATCACGTATCAATACTTCAGCTGTATTTCAGCTTCCAGTAATGAGACAGGCTTTTTACACCTTGCCCGATGAACAGGGTAGTGCGTATAATGGCTCGGTCGGTGCACCCTCTGTGGAATACTGCCAGGGACATGCCTCGCCCATGGTGCACCCTATAGGCACTTGCCATTTTCGAAGTTTCAGATCCTTGGGGGTGTCCCTGTAATCGCTGAAGACATTCCAACAACCTAGTAACTCAAAAAGTTTACAAAAATGATTTATCAAGGCAATATTGTCTTTACTTATTTAATTATGTCACATATATATTCAAATTCTGTATTCTTTCATATAGGTCGTATATGAGGTAGTCAGTCAGTCGGTCCATACGAGTGAGTGAGTCAGTCCATAAGAGTGAGTGCCTCAGTCCATACGAGTCAGCCAGTCAGTCCATACGAGTGAGTCAGTCAGTCCATACTAGTGAGTGAGTCAGCCAGTCAGTCCATACGCAAAGGAGATCAACAAACAGAAGACACCATTGTCGTACTACCAACTACAGTAACAGTGATTCCCCATACTCCTAGACATATTGCTTTCTGTATCCTTACTATATCTTGCTTGTTAATCTTAAAAAATACAATGTTTGGGTTGTTTAAAGTAGTACGAAACGTATGTTTACTGCAGTGTTGTTATCAATACCGCTGTTGAGGTAAACTGACGATGCCTGCGATGAAGAAAGAGCTTATCGTATATTGATGTCTCGACTTCTCAACAGCAATGTAAAATACAGAGTAAAACAAAATAAAAAGAATGCACCTGCGATTCACTTGAGACCTGAATACAACATATCTATATTAATCTTATTTAAAACATAAAACACGTGATGGAGTCCCCCTGCCGTGATATTGCTGAATATTGCTAAAAGCGGCGTAAAAGTCACTGACTTCAATGTATTGGGACGAGGACGCGCCCAGGTTTGTGTTTAGGATATAAAATACATGTCTCACTGAGCATGTCTGTTTTAAATACGGCCTCTGGAATGCTTGCACTGTCGACACAATTGTGCTGTCGGTACGACAGCTGGTGTCATAAAAAATACTGCAATGTCGGGTAGTTTTATCTATTCATTTTTTTCTTTTCGATAATATTAGTACTGCCAAGATACGTTTAACGTCTGTAGATAAAGTGAGTGAGTAGGTTGGTTTTACGCCGCACACAGCAATATTCCAGCTATATGGCGGCGGTCTCTAAATAATCGAGTCTGGACCAGCCAATCCAGCCAATCCAGTGATCAACCTGTAGATAAAGTATTAACTTTAATATCATAGTTTACCCAGAGACAGATTAAACGTATGGTATATGGTGGCATCAACTATTATCAGGGTTGATATTAAATTTTATGTGAATACGAGCTTGTAATTTGATTTGTCCTCTAGATTTACACCAGAGACCATATAATAGATGATCATGTCATATCATATCATATGGTCTCTGTTTACACCGATGAGGACACTAAAACGATATTTATAAAAAAAAAATATCATCAGCTCTCATTATCACTAAACTCATAACGATGTTGGGGTAGGCGTTAGTTACCCTTGTGGCTGTTTTCTCTACTGAATTATTTCTTCGTGTATATTTTATGATATTTGGGAATATAATTGTGTTGTAAAACCAAACTCAAAATATCCATCGACTTTTAACAGAAGCTCGGGATTTAGCCAAGAGAAAGCGCATCCATATCTTACCACTTATTCGTGGTGGCAACACGCTGTATGGAGTTCGTTTAATACTTCACACTTCCGGTTGAATGGCGGAGTAACGAAGAAACAGTGATGGCGGACCATGTGATGCATGAACTAGAGCAGGCCTCACAAGCTGTGTTGGTGAGTCTGAGACATCAGTCATAATTACAGAAAACTAAACACTCTCTATTAATCATTACAGTCATGTTATATACCTCCGGTAAACGAGCCCTGGGTCTATGTTCAATACAATCTTGTAACAAACGTTTTTGCTCGCACCTGTTGTCATTGAAATCATTTCACTGAGACAAACAGGTGAATGATTACCTCAGAATAAACCGTCTTGTGTGTTCAGGTCGTTTTAATTTATTCAAACGGTTTTATTTCTTAAATATTTTCCTTTATTCTTAATATATTTTAACCAGACTGCAGGACTACAATGATACTTTTGAACTACCTTTTGAAAGTAAACAAAACTTTACGTTACATTCCTGTTACGCGTAATTCAGTAATTTTGTGTTTTCTGTCAAATGTGCAAATTAGGTTATTACATGAATCCAGCTGGGGTATAAAATTGTATCTAGAACTGCGAATACACTGACAATGGACATTTTATTGTTGCTTATGCACGTTAATAGCTGGTATCGTATGAACAATTAAATAAATGAACATGTGTAATAATGGCATTTTTATTATTATGCCTTAAGACACAGTGCCATGAGACTCTTATCCCCGTAAAACTTACCATCCTTTAATCTTGTGCATATTTTTAATTGTCGTTTTTATGTCGGTGTTTATTATGTTAGGAAATCACCAACATTTCAGGAAACATATTTCAACATGTCCAAAGTCAAAAGTTTTGTAACAGAATGACACCTTAAATTGTTAACTGTCAAAGGAACATTTACCGGTACTGTATGGAACGCGTTGACGGGATATTGTTTGATAGACGCAAGAGATAATTTTCATTTCTTCCTTATGCAAGAATAATAACAAGGCTCGATCCTTTTCATGCTCAATGTGCAAAAATAAAGGCACTGTGCTTTAAATGCGTACTATACAATATTTATCACAATTAACTGTTAAAAAAATTATTCATGAGAAATCACAAACAGGAATTGCTACAGTGCGGTAGATAATAGTCACATGACCTGTCAAGATGTCAAGATGTCAAGCTCTTGACAAATGTTACTTATATTTGCAGAATATTTAGCTCAGTGTATGAGCTGATGTATTTGGCATTAGAATTTTATTTATGATTGTTAGGTTTGTTATTTGATTATAATCTATATATAGGATTCATATTTTGAAAAGTAAAGTGTGAAGTTTGATGTGATGTAAATATTATTGGGTTATGTTAAATGTTAAATAGGTATGCTACTTAAACACCATCTCAAATTCACCTTGCATATGAACATGATATTTAGAGGACATCAAATGTGCAGGTACATGTTCTTTAAGTTCAGTCAGGTGCTGCAGATACACAGCATTGGTGACCAGTCTGGATTCTTTTACACACAGTTCTTACGAGTTTGAAACATTGCAAACTTAGACCTTCATTCATCCTCATCCGTGTTTAACTATGAAAGCATTCAGTTGGACAGTTATATTATGGCCTTTTTCATGGTAATGGTTTGTTTTAATCATGTTCCCGCCATATAGCTGGAGTATTGCTGAGTGTGGCGTACAACTAGACTCACTCATTTAATCATGTTCAGAGTTTATTGTTCTATTGCAGCTAATTTGTTTTCATTTTGATACAGTTTTATACGTAATATGCCTAAATTCATATCTCTTTCACAAGAGACCGCTGTTAGGTTTGACAGTTTTCTGGCAAAATTGCTCTTAGCAGTGCGGAACTTTCCGCATGCATCACTTTAAAGATGCGAATTTTGGTTCCCAAAATGGAAAACTTATAGGAATTAGTATTTAAGTAGGAATAAAGCTTGACAGTAGACTTTGACAGAGTCTACTTTGATAATGTTCGTCCCTGGGGCAAAAAATTTCCTTGTTCTTGTCTGAATTATTGCTTTACATTATTCTAACAATTATGATCAGTGCTCAGAATTTATGGTAAATATAGAAAGTTCCTTGTTATAATTCCTATGTTTAACAGTTATGATTTTAGTGGTCCCTAGATTAAAGTACAGGATGAGCACCTCTCTGTGTCTGTGTTTACAGGCTGCTCCTAACATAGTGACTCCAGAACAGAGGCAGGCTGCCGAGAGAGTCATCTTGGATTTCCGCAAGCGGAAACTGCCATACAGCATTTGTAGATACATTTTAGGTGAGGTGGTAACTGATACTGGAATTTCACGTGATCATGAGAATCTATACCATCACGCACTGATATACTCACCAACATTATCAATAATGTGCATCCAATGATTAATGTTCATGTGAGCACTAACATTTAAAATGGGCTGAATATTGTAAAAAGAGAAACTGTTAGATCATATAAATCATGTGTATATGATGTAAATGTGTGTTAATGCTCAGGAAGACCCATAAAGATCCGGGTTAGAATTGATCGTCAGTAACCCATGCTTGTCGTAAGAGGTGACTAACAGGATCTGGTGGTGAGGCTCGCTGACTTGGTTGACACATGTCATCGTATCCCAATTGTGTAGATCGATGCTCATGCTGTTGATCACTGGATTTTCTGTCCAGACTTGATTATATTCAGACCGTCATCATATAGCTGAAATATTGCTGATTGCGACGTAATACTAAACTCAATCAATCAATAATGCTTAGGAAATCACTCTCAAATGATAATGACTATCATTGGTCACTCATCATTATTGAAAATATTTCTAACGGTGATAAATGCAAATTAATATCTGACATCTGACTAGACATGCTGGATTTGACAGTATAGATGATGACATCTGACTAGACATGCAGGGTTTGACAGTATAGATGATGACATCTGACTAGACATGTTGGATTTGACAGTATAGCTGATGACATCTGACTAGACATGCTGATTCTGACCGTATAGCAGATGACATCTGACTAGACATGTTGGATTTGACAGTATAGCTGATGACATCTGACTTGACATGCTGGGTTTGACAGGAGAAATTATGACATCTGACTAGACATGTTGGATTTGACAGTACAGCTGATGACATCTTATTAGACATGCTGGATTTGACAGTACAGATGATGACATCTGACTAGACGTGCAGGGTTTGACAGTATAGCTGATGACATCTGACTAGACATGCTGGATTTGAACGTATAGCTGATGACATCTGACTAGACATACTGGGTTTGACATTATAGCTGATGACATCTGACTAGACATGTTGGATTTGACAGTATAGTTCATGACATCTGACTAGACATGCTGGATTTGACAGTAGAGATGATGACATCTGACTAGACATGCTGGGTTTGACAGTAAAGATGATGGCATCTGACTAGACGTGCTGGATTTGACCGTATAGCTGATGACATCTGACTAGACATGCTGGATTTGACCATATAGATGATGACATCTAACTAGACATGCAGGGTTTGACAGTATAGCTGATGACATCTGACTATACATGCTAGATTTGACCGTATAGATGATGACATCTGACTTGACATGCAGGGTTTGACAATATAGCTGATGACATCTGAGTAGACATTCTAGATTTGACAGTATAGAAGATGACATCTGACTAGACATGCTGGATTTGACAGTATAGATGATGACATCTGACTAGACATGCAGGGTTTGACAGTATAGCTGATTACATCTGACTAGACATGCTTTAGTGCTGGATTTGACCGTGAGATAGCTGATGACATCTGACTAGACATACCATGCTGGTTTGACAGTATAGCTGATGGCATCTGACCGGTTTAGACATGCAGGGTTTGACAGTATAGCTGATGACATCTGACTGACTTAGACATGCAGGAGTTTTGACAGTATATTTAATGACATCTGACTAGACATGCTGGATTTGACCATGTATAGCTGATGACATCTGACTAGACATGCGGTATATGGGGATTTGACATTATAGCTGATGACATCTGACTAGACATGTTTGATTTTGGACAGTATAGCTGATGACATCTGACTAGACATGCTGGGTTCCGCAGTTAGCGGACTGACTAAGTATAGCTGATGACATCTGACTAGACATGCTGAATTTGACAGTATAGCTGATGACATCTGACTAGACATGCTGGATTTGACAGTAGAGATGATGACATCTGACTAGACATGCAGGGTTTGACAGTATAGATGATGACATCTGACTAGACATGCTTTATTTGACAGTAGAGAAGATGACATCTGACTAGACATGCAGGGTTTGACAGTATAGCTGATGACATCTGATTAGACATGCAGGGTTTGACAGTATAGCTGATGACATCTGACTAGACATGCTGGATTTGACAGTAGAGAAGATGACATCTGACTAGACATGCAGGGTTTGACAATATAGCTGATGACATCTGAGTAGACATGCTAGATTTGACCGTATAGATGATGACATCTGACTGGACATGCAGGGTTTGACAGTATAATGATTACATCTGACTAGACATGCTAGATTTGACAGTATGGCTGATGACATCTGACTAGACATGCAGGGTTTGACAATGTAGCTGATGACATCTGACTATACATGCTAGATTTGACCATATAGATGATGACATCTGACTAGACATGTTGGATTTGACAGTACAGCTGATGACATCTGACTAGACATTCTAGATTTGACCGTATAGAAGATGACATCTGACTGGACATGCAGGGTTTGACAGTAGAGATGATGACAACTGACTAGACATGTTGGATTTGATAATATAGCTGATGACATCTGACTTGACATGCTGGGTTTGACAGGAGAAATTATGACATCTGACTAGACATGTTGGATTTGACAGTACAGCTGATGACATCTGATTAGACATGCTGGATTTGACAGTACAGATGATGACATCTGACTAGACATGCAGGGTTTGACAGTAGAGATGATGACATCTGACTTTAGACATGTTGGATTTGATGCTAGGTATAGCTAGAGGATGACATCTGACTAGACATGCAGGGTTTGACAGTAGAGATGATGACAACTGACTAGACATGCTGGGTTTGACAGTATAGATGATGACAACTAACTAGACATGCAGGGTTTGACAGTAGAGATGATGACATCTGGATTAGCTCCAACATATCATTTGACCAGAGTGTGAACAGCCAACTGTGTGATAGATAGGCTGATTACTGCAGCTTTTAGGGTCCCACAAATAACTAGATAGTAAACTAGCATACAATGTTTTGTGTTCACTTCCAACCATGCCATGTTCCTCCTTCCAGAGACCAGCAAGAATGACTCACGTGCTGTTCCAGTCAGCCACTACCATTAAGGAAGGATCGTCAGAGAATGGGCGTTTATAGGTCCCAAGAGGATGTGGAGTCACTCCGATCCTTTCTTCTTGGATACATTACAAAGAATATCAGGTATATACTGTAGAGAATGGAGGAAGCTACTGTAAGGCCTAAAAAATGTTGTGGTTCGATTACCGATGCTCCTCGATTTCTAGTGCCCACCCTAACTTTTTAAGTGGTTTTAAATGAAATAAGCTTTTAGATACCATTGTTTTTTCCCGGCACCGACGGACATCGGTCATTCTGATAGAGAAAGTCGACATGATAGCTGAAACCTTGATTGAATAAACAATTATAATAAATGTGTTATAAGTATGTACTTTACTTCAAGATAAAAATGTTTAAAAAAATCCTACTTACCTCCCCTAAATTTTAAGGTGGAATCGGAACCACAACATTTATTTTTTCTTATCCTGACTCATGCTTATTTGCTTGTCTTCTTCTTCTGGCGAACCTAGTGGAACACTTGTATCTCCCAATTGAAGTTCCCTTCAATAAAAAATCACTCATTAGTACTCACCACAAGTTACCTCCCTTCTGCAAGCGCGTGAACGAGGGCGCCACCCAAGCCCATGTGCCTCACTCTCTCCTTCTTCGCCCAGTGAGCTGGACGTGAGAGCGCCTGTGTCTCCCAACACACTATATCCTTTATTTATATTTAGTTAGTTCCTCTTATACGTTAGTATAGAGGTATTACTAGTATATTTATTCAATTTGCATTGATTATTAATTGTGTTTCTGCTGTTTATTCAAGCCGTGATTGTTCAGTGAAGCTACATTAATGAAAATTTGCACAGATTGTAAACTACGTTATTCTGATACCGATCCACATTTAAAATGCCCTAGTTGCATTACTCCATGTTCCCTTTGATTCTCGTTGTAAATTGTGTATCAATTTACCAATCTCTGCCTTTTGACAAATATTTATGTTCCAGTTTATAGAGCTGGAAGGCAGATAGAATCTGAAGTAAACAGATTTCAAACATGGCTAATAGATCGCAAAATTAATGTTCCTTGTCTACTGTTGATTGAGGACACCATTCGGCTGGTGGCATGCCTGAGTTTCCTCGGCGGATAAGCGTGGGGCGCAGTCCGTATGTCCAAGCGACCTGCATCTCAAGAGCTGCGTCTTCTCAGTCCAAGTCGAGGAAACCAGCCCGTATCATCTCGCACACACTGGTACACCAAGATCTACACCTTCATCTAAAGGGAAGTCAACAAAATCTAATAATTTTGCCTCTGATATCTTACCAGTTACAGAATTAGCATTATATTATGATGATATGCCAATTATCATTCAGAAGTTCATCACAAGAAAGCGGCCCGTTTCTGCGACTGTCACCTTCAGCAGATGAACACACAACCCGGACATGCCGACACTATCACCAGAAATTTTATCTGAGGGTCCCGTCACCTCTGCAGAGAGAGACATCCCTCATCAAAGCAGACCGCTTCAGGCGACTTGATCAACCAGATAATCAGGGTGATGGAAGATCGCTCACGACTTACACAGAGGCCTCAGAGCCCACGGGCCTCAGAGCCCACCCCATATTAAGTCATACAGGGCCTCAGAGCCCGCCTTTGCTTCGCTGCGTGGGGCCTCTGAGCCCATAGCCCGCCTCAGCCAAGGGCAACCCTGCCCGAGTGAGCTCTTTGCATAAAGGTATCCCAGGCCTCACCTTGGAGCTAGAGCCTCACCTTTTGCAAGAGGCTTCATGAGGAGGAAGCTTAAGCTGAGCACGCACCTTGTCATGCACAAAGGCGTTAATAGAAAGCAAGCTCATATGTCGGATCGGGACACTGACTCCAGACATTGGGCGCAGGGACGTGAAGGCTAAGTGGTTCTACATAAGCCTAGTAGGCTGTTCTGCAGCTCCCTCAACGCTCGAGAAGTCCAGAGTATGCCTGCCGCCATCACCGCTTCGGCTCCACAGTCTCAGCTGGCGATGTCTTCTCCAAGGTCTACATACACTAGCCACTCGTCAGTCTCTGTTCTCCTCAATCCTCACATAGATCTTCTTACAGATCGAGGACTCGACATACCTGACCATGCGTCCAGAGGAGGACGATGGTATCATTTTCTCAGAGGCTGAGATAAGGTATTGGATGGTAACTATTACAACTGGCCTCCCCTAAGAACGAGGATGCAACCCAAACTTACCTGATGAAAGATGATGATGTAGATCATATCACCGTTGCCTCCTATGGATCCTATCTATGCCGTTCCTGCTAAACTGGATACAGCCTACTCCAAATCTACTAAACCCATCCTACCCATTTACCGTTCTTCAATGCCAAGAGTTTTATGGACATAATATGGAGCCTTTTCAAGACTCAGGAGATTGATGAAAACTTTAAACTTATCAGTGATTCCAAGTCCAGAAGTTATAGGGGTGAAGCGATCACAAGATGGCCCAGTTAGATACCATTTCCAGAAGGATGTTCTTCGGACTTAATAGATCTAGGACTATTAATCCAGACTCTCATCACTAAGTTCAAGAACTCTACGATGAGGAGGACAGGATGATCTATTCAGCCTCTACTTATGCAGAGAAAAGATCAACAATTCCTTACAGACCATCTTTCAGCACTTACTGAAACCACTACTCTCATGACACGCCGGCAAGGATTACTAGCCTCCTGCTCTTGGAATAAACAATTCACAGAGCCCCTGTACACAGCTCCATGGTCTTCACCTTTACTGTTTGGTGGCAACATTAACAAGGTTTCCAAGGAAGTATCTAAAGATTCTAGAGAAGTACTCATGATTAGATCAATGGATACGTTAGTTTAACGCCTTTAAACAATCAGCACAGAGGTACTCGGGTAAGTCTAAGTTTTCAGGGCTACAGAGAGCATGGGATAAGAAATTAGCGTCAGCTAATAATCCCAAGGATTCTTTTCGTCACTGCATTAACAAGTTCAGAGGAGGATCAGCTAGAGGCAGATCATCCAGAGGTTCCCTGTGGATTTAAACGATGAAAGTCAGGTTCGAACGACTGGAGTCTTCCACCCCAGTCGCCCCAGTACAACCTTCTCAAGTGGGTGGACGTCTACAACTACACTGGGAAAACTGGGGAATACTTCAAGATCCGTGATGTATCCAACATCCTTCAGTACGGATATCAAGCCTACAACTCAAGGCCAAGCCACCGCTAACAGTCAACCCACCAGGGTTCAACGCTCATCTGGCACAACTACCGATGTTAAGAGAAACAGTTCAGTCTCTACTAAACAAACAGGCCTTAGAAGTTCTCGATCAGCGAAACATCATACCAGGTTTCTACTCCCCAGTTTTCCTAGTGCCTAAAAAGAATTCCAAAGAGAAGTATCGTCTCATTTTACAACATGAGCACATTCAACAGAGAATTTCTATGCAAACCACCAGCGCTTGGCGATGATACATTTACCTCAACTCCGTCATCTGATTCGGATCCACTTAGATTACATGGTAAGTATAGATCTGCAGGACGATACCTACACATTCGATTCATCCCAGTTCAAGGAAATATCTGAGGTTTATGCTAGACGACATACACTACCAATGGAAAGTACTTCCCTTCGGAATCACTTCGGCCCCATGCCCATGGGTATTCACAAGAGTAACCAAGCCTATTGTCTCATACCTACATCGCCAAGGACTGCGGAATGCATTTTACCTAGACGACGGTATACAGGTGGATCTAGATCCACAGCGTCCTCAGACTACAGCTGAACTTTTACAATCAAGCTACTAACGCAGTTAGGCTGGTTAGTAAATCTACTCAAGTCGGACCTAGAGCCCACGAGGATCTGCAGTTTCTAGGTATAATGATTCCTTACAGCTCAGAATCGTATGGTAGTCCCGAGGACAGATGGATCAAGATACAACAACTGATCCCCAAGCCCTACTCTCTCCGCTACCACTCACGACAGTGGCAGAGTCTACTGGGACTACTCACATCAGCTCAAGACTTGACAATCAGAGGCAAGCTTCAATTAAGGCCCATTACAAGTCCTCATCAATGCCCATCTCGAGGACCTCTACCGCTCAGTCTACCAGATTACGCCAAACCACATCTACTCTGGTGGACCAAGAGATTGAATGTTTGCGAGGCGCCTCCTTAGTAGAGCCGAATCGAAAACACATCTCTACTGCGGACGCTGCCACTAAAAGGTTGGGGAGCCCACCTTACTGGCAGGACAGCGCCAGGCCTATGGAGCATTCTAAGAGAGCTTATGTCACATAAATCTGCTAGAGATGCAAGCAGTCATAAACGCCTTATAGGTCCCTCGAGCAACCTGTTACAGAACGCTCAGTTAATGATTCACACAGACAACTCAACAGTGGCATTTTATGTGAACAAACAAGGGTCAACAAGATCACTGAATCTACTCACTGATGTTTCAAACTGTTCAATTAGTCGACAGTCTAAACATACGATCAAAGCCTGCCACATTCCAGGAGCAAAGAATGTGTTAGCAGACGCTCTCTCGCCGCACCAGCCGTCGCGACAGAATGGATGCTCCACACAGAGATATTCAATCAGATAATCATGGAAATAGGATCTCCTCTGATAGACCTATTTTACACCCGATTCAACAATCAACTGACAACCTTTAGACGCTTGTGCCAGATCCATTAGCCTGGGCAACGGACGCACTAAGCATATCGTGGAGGGGACTAAACGCGACGCTTTCCGCCTCCCATGCTAATCCCACAAGTCTTGCTAAAATCAGTCGAAAGACGAGGAGCCTCGATCTCATTTTGGTCTCGCGCTTACTGGCCAGCGAACGTGGTTTCCAGACCTCATACTAGGAATCGAAAACCAGTACTTCAGCTCCCACTACCAATCTACTGATACATCCGCACACCAAACAAGTGCACAAAACACCAGAAGCATTCCGACTTCGCGGTGGATTGTATCAAGGCATGTTTGAATAAGAGAGGTTATTCCACCAGAGCGCTGCAGGCGTCATGCTTGCACTACATTAACTCTACTGCGAACTTTGTACGATGACAAATGGCTCAGATTTGTCAATTATGCTGCTAAGAAAGGATTTTCAGCCAGATTTGCTACACATCCTCAAGT